CGACCTGCCTTTCCAACGGCTACCTGGGGAGCCCCCTGGTGGATCCTACGTGCAACGCCAGATGGACCCTGTCAGGGCATAGGACAGTTCATCATGTTCCATGCTGGCCTGGGATGATGGGCACTGGAGTAGAAGGAAACGCTCCCTCCAATATTGCCTGACTGCAACACGTAGCAATTTCTAGACTTTCCTTTAATGGTCTAAGAACCATCTGTGAACTTGTGACTATTGAGAAAACCTCTATGGAGGCTCAAAGGAAGAGAGGCCTCTCTCTGAAGCCCAGATTTGTGTCATGTGGTTGTTGGCAAAGTCAGCCCTGAAGTGAGGGAAGTGAAGAGGGCTGGCAGGGTCACAGGGTGGGAAGTGAGGGCTTAAGAAAATTAAGATTTGTATGGATGTTTTATTTCCATTATTTCAGCTGCCTTTTCAAATTAATCTTGCTTGAAAAAGGGGCACCTAAAGGAAACAAGTTCCAAAATAGAGAGGAAGCTGAAACTCATGGAAGTTTTAAAAATTTAACCTCAAAATAAGGCACCATGGAGAGATGAATGGGAAAATGGTGTCTCATAGGTGACTGGAGAAAAGGTGGTATTACAAAAATAGTGGAAGGCAAATGTTGTGAAGTACAAAGTACTTCAAAACAAAGTACCAATTTTCTTCTAGCCAAAAGAGTGAAAGATTCTCAAGGTTTGAAGAGATTAGTTGTGGATTTGAAGGTGACAGTGCAAGAACAAAGAGATTTCTCTACATTAATGAAAGAGATGAGGAAACAGTTAAGAAGCAATTTAAAAAGAATGGAATTAACACCTCTCTCTTGTCAAAAACCTGGTTTTTTTCAATCCATTTTTCTCTGTCTTCTATAATGGAGAAAATTGACAATGGCTACAAAACCAAAATTGGTGCCCTTTTACCAGTTTGTTCCAGAACCATAAATGGGCACTCTTTGAATAAACAAGCTTCAAACTGGCCTGAGTCTCTGAAAACCTGAAGTGTTCCCCCACTCCAAATCCTTCCAAAAGTTTTAATTTTTAATACACTAGAAAGAATTTAAAATGGTCTCAATAACCATAGCAGGGATGTTTAATTTTATTTATACCCACAATTGTTATTCAATTCTAATTAAAATCCAATTAACTTCAATTAAATCCAATTTATTTAAATTAAATTTAGAGATTTCCTAATTATCATGTCATAAAAAGGCAAAATAGCAATAGCTATACCACCTAAACTCATATATCGCTTCCTGGTGCTTTACAACACTCCATAAATGGTTTATAGAATCAGCATATTGCCCCCAACAATCTGGGTCCTCATTTTACAGGCCTCAGAAGAAGGGAAGATTCAATCAACCTTGAGCCGATCGGAATCAAACTCCTGGCAATCAGCAGAATTAGCTTGCAATACTGCATGCTAACCACTGCACCACCATGGCTCTAATGCTTCAAAAAGTGTTTTTGAACATGGATTTCACTTCTCATTCTGGTCTCTTTTGTGAGAGGAATTCATCATCCTGAAACTTGATATGTATGTGACTTTGTTCTATTGCTCTTGCTTGAATTATGTTATATTTCCAAGACAGATAGTTGTCAACTTGGAATAGTTCGTCTACTGACCGTTCGAAATTACAACAGTATTGAAAAAGCCACTTGACCATTTTTCATACTTATGACCATTGAAGAATGGTCACATGATTTACACATTTGGAGGTTTGACAGGTGACTCACATTTATGACGGTTGCAGTGTCCAAGGGTTACATGATCAGCTTTTGTGCCATTCTGACAAGCAAAGTCAATGGGGAAGCCAGATTTACTTAACAATGATACTAATTGAATAATTCCACTGATTGACTTAAGAAATGTGACAAAGAAGAGTTGTTAAAATGGGGCCAACCACACTTAACAAATTTCTGACTTAGCAACGTAAATTCCTGGCTCAATTGTGGTCTTATGTTGTGGACCACCTTACCATGTAGTCCTTGGATAAGGAATGGAATTTGGATCAGAACTTCCATCATTAAGTGATGTGGTCATAAAGCATGACATCATATAAGCCAAACCCAATGTTGGTAAGGTGCCATCAGTTTATCAGCTGTCCATTCATAAAAAAGAAATATAACAGAGGAAACCCCACAGAGCAGTGGTGGGATTTAAATTTTTTTGCTACCAATTCTGTGGGCGTGACTTGGTAGGCATGGTATGGCTTGGTGGGTGTGGCTTGGTGGGCATGGCAGGGGAAGGGTACTACAAAAATCTCCGTTCCCTCCCCACTCTTAGGGGAAGGTTACCACTGGTTCTCCGAACTACTCAAAATTTCTGCTACCGGTTCTCCAGAACTGGTCAGAACTTGCTGAATACCACCTCTGCCACAGAGGATTTAAAGACAGACCAGAGTCTGTAAGAGTAAAAATGTTGCTGTATAGTACTATGTCGTTGTACAATGAGCTTATGCACCAGAGACAAATTTCTTGTGTGCGCAATCACACTATCATTCACACACACCATTCCATTCCATTCCACAAGTATAGTAGCAATATTTAACAATATAGTTGCTGCAGAAATGTATAAAATAACATAGGTGGACAATAGTATATAATAAAGTGATATTATATTATAGAGGACATCATATAGTGTCAATTTACTAAATAACTAGCATAAGAGATCAAACATAGTAAGAATTTATATGTGGTTTGTATGTTTCACTTTTGTATCTTGGATATTTTTCAAAATAAAACATCTCCACAACTCTTATAGGAGACAGAAAGTTTCAATTGTCTAAAATCCATACTTTTAATGGATCTTTTGAGCTCAAGTCAATCAGACTGGGTATGGTTTAAAAAGAACCTATGACACATTGGTGGCAGTGGCGGGATCGCTTCTGACTCATGGGACTCATTAAGTACTGTGTATGAAAAGAAATGTTAGCTGCTGAAAGGAAGGAATTTGGCACTCGCAAACATTGCAAGGAACAGCCAACATTCTGGATGCAGAAATCAGACTTCTCATTCTAGCCTTCAAAAGACAAGAAGGGATGAAAAGGTAGAACAGACAGAAAAAGAGCTAAATCCAGAACCTTGGCTGACTACCAGAACTGAAATACTGAGGCATCAGCAAGAGGTATTAGATTTTTTTTTTAAACTAAAGGATAGTTGAGAAATAATGTGATAATTGTATTTGATATTTTGGAATATTTGAAACAATATAGTGAAAAACAATCAGGAATATTTCTACATGCAAATAAGGTCTCTGATTAATTGAACCTTGCAAAAACCACAAGCAGGATTAGGGATGCACCTTCTTCTGGTTTGCACTAGAAAGGCGATTCAGGCATGCATATCTAAGGTCTACAAGTTATTTGGATTATTACTCAAATGGTCCTTGCATGGGATTTTAGACAATTGTAGGTAGTCCCCAATTTACAACAGTTCATTTAGTGATTATTCAGTCACAGAAGCACTGAAAAAATTGACATGATCATTTTTCATATTTATGACTGTTGCAGCATCCCCATAGTCATCTGATCAAATTTCAGATGCTTGGCAACAGACCCATATTTATGACAGTTGAGGTGTTCCCGGGACATGTGATCCCCTTTTGTGACTTTCTGACAAGCAAAGTCAATAGGGAAGCCAGATTCATTTCACTACAGACTTACTAACTTACCAAAAGCGATTCACATGGGGCAAAAAAAGGTCATAAAGTGGGGAAAACTCAATAACTGTCTTACTTAGCAACAGAAATTTTGGGCTCAATCGCAGTCATACACGGAGGACAACACGGATTTCTGTGAAACCACTTCTCACACTTCCCTTTATTGATATGGTTTTTCCCCTGTGTGGATCCTTTTATGTGTGGTAAGAGCGTATTTCCTACTAAAGCTCTTTCCACACTCCATGCATTGATATGGCTTCTCTCCTGTGTGGATCCTCTTGTGGCAATGAAGACTACTGCTATGAGTAAAGATCTTTCCACATTCCTCACACTGATATGGTTTCTCTTTCGTGTGAATCCTCTTGTGGGAATTAAGATTACTGCCACAAGTAAAGGTCTTTCCACACTCTATGCATTGATATGGTCTTTCCCCTGTGTGGATCCTTTTATGGGCGGCAAGAGCACAATTCCACCTAAAGCCCTTTCCACATTCTACACATTTATATGGCTTCTCTCCTGAGTGGATCTTCTTGTGGGAATCAAGATGTCTGCTGCAACTAAAGCTCTTTCCACACTCCATGCATTTATAAGGTCTTTCTTTTTTGTGATTCTTTTGATGTCTTATAAGAGAGTCATAATAACAGAAAGTCTTTCCACACTCCATGCATTGATATGGCTTCTCCTCTGTATGGATAGTTTTATGGTGAATCAAAGCATACTTCGTACTAAAGCTCTTTCCGCACTCCATGCATTGATATGACTTCTCTGGTGTGTGTGTTTTCTTGTGGGAATTAAGACTACTGGTACAAGTAAAGACCTTTCCACACTCCTCACATTGATATGGTTTCTCTTTTGTGTGGATCCTCTTGTGGGAATTAAGACTACTGGTACAAGTAAAGGTTTTTCTACACTCCATGCATTGATATGGTCTTTCTCCTTTGTGAATCCTTTGATGGATTATAAGAGAACGATTATAACAGAAGGTCTTTCCACACTCCACACATTGATATGGCTTCTCTATTATGTGGATCATCTTATGAGTGTTAAGATGACTGGTACAAGTAAAGCTCTTTCCACACTCCATGCATTTATAAGGTCTTTCTCCTTTGTGATTCATTTGATGCCTTATAAAAGATTTAGAGTAACGGAAGGTGTTTCCACACTCCATGCATTCATAGGGTTTCTCTCCTGTGTGGATCCTCTTATGGGAGGCAAGATGACTACTACTACTAAAAGCCTTTCCACACTCCATGCATTTGTAAGGTCTTTCTCCTTTGTGATTCCTTTGATGGATTATAAGAGAGCTATAATAAGAAAAGGTCTTTTCACATTCCTTGCATTGATGTGGCTTCTCTCCTGTGTGGATCCTCTTATGGGAATTAAGACGACTGTTACAAGGAAAGGTTTTTCCACACTCCATGCATTGATATGGTTTCACTCCTGTGTGGATCCTCTTATGGGAATTGAGACTACTACTGCAAGTAAAGGTTTTTCCACACTCCATGCATTTATAAGGCCTTTCTCCTTTGTGATTCCTTTGATGGATTATAAAAGAGTTATGATAAGAGAAGGTCTTTCGACATACCATGCATTGATATAACTTCTCCTCTGTGTGGATAGTTTTATGCTGAATCAGAACGTTTTTCCTACTAAACGTCTTTCCACACTCCATGCATTGATATGGCTTCTCTCCTGTGTGGATCCTCTTATGGGAATGGAGACTACTGCTATGAGTAAAGATCTTTCCACACTCTATGCATTGATATTGCTTCCCTTTCCCCTCTTTCGAATGGATCGCTTGGCATTCCTCCTTACAATTCGTATTCTTCTGCCCATTATAGCCTTAAAAATAAAAATAAAAACTGTAGCAAAAAATAGGAGAACAATCAAAACTTGTCTTCTGAAATTTAGCCAAAGAATCATCAATATATTTTGGCTGCTTTACTGGCAAACATGATGATTCCAAACTACGACTTTAGCAAGGACCCATTTTCAAGAGTATCCCTACTGATCCTCATATAACCAGACTGGATCACATCACAATGAATCTAAGACACAACCTAATCTTTGGTCTGGAACTATTTCATGGGGCCACAAACCCCTGAAGTCCATTGGACACAGTATCATGCTGGGTCAACAATATACCTACCAGCTCCCCAACTTCATTGGAAGTCTCATCCCCACTTGTCTGCAGGGCAGAATCGTTGAAAGCCAAGGGAAATTTCTGGATGGCAATAGCTCCCCACCCTCAATTAGGCTGATGCCAAACTTGGTACACAAGTGGGCACATCTCAGAGAAGGGACATCCCACTCTGGACCTATCCCGTCTTGGTTATACTAGCTCAGGGCCATCGGAGATCTAGAGATCAGATTCAGGAGTAGGTAGAATCTTGCTCAAGAGAGGCACACCATCCCTGCAGCCTGTTTCTCAGATTCTTGCTAATATCTTCTGAAGCATGGAGATGATTATTTTGTAATTTATGACCAGAAAGCATTAAGAAAACACATTTCCTGTATGCAAAGAGAGAGGCTATGCAGTATTCTAAGTTTTCTTTCAATAAATTTCCTTCTTCCATGAAGTCAGTTTGGTCAAAGTGTTAAGGCACCAGGCTAGAAACTAGGTCAGTGAGTTCTAGTTCAGCCTTAGGGATGAATGCTGGCTGGGTGACTTTGGGCCAGTCTCTCTCAGCTCAACCCAGGATTGCTGATGTAGGGAAAACAGCAGGAGGAAGGAATATTGAATTTGTCCACTGTTCTTTACAAAAAATAAAGGCGGGATATAAATAAGTGATCTTTTAATCACTTATTTCAATTAATCTATTTTTAATAACATCTAAGTACCCCATCCCATGACTTTTCTGTTTCTGAACACATATAAGGATTCTTACCCAGAGAAGCCAGATTCCTGGAATTCTCCAGCATGACTTCTCCATGGAGCGCTTTTTGGTCAGTATCCAGTTGAGACCACTCCTCCTTGGAGAAATGCACGGCCACTTCCTCAAAAGACACACCACCCTGAACAAGGAAACAAGTTTTCCTTTTAACAGATAATCCCAATTCAAGGAGAGAGATCCAGTGAACCAAATGGGAATCTTCTGCAGAGTTCAGAATGAGATCTCACTGCTTTTGACTAACCGTACAACTGAAGCACATTTGATCGTGTTGGAAGTCTGGAATGCCTTTCAATGTAGGCAACTAAAATAGTTTTCTTGGTCAATTGGAAGTTGGGTGTTAAATTCACTAGTTATCAGTGGCTCCAATTCTTCCTAGGTTGGGCAATGCCAAATAGTGGCAAAACCCACCTGACATTTTTTGCCAAGGGCTTACTTTATCCACTGAGGTGCAAATGTAACCCAACTCCACACCTTCATGAAGGTGTTAGAAGAGCTTGTAACTATATATGTCTATGGAGATTTTCAATCAAAAGGTCAGGGTTGTCCCAAAGATGCTTTTGAAAAGGGAACAAAAAAAGCATTTTTTGTAATGATATGTGAGAATGACCCGGGGAGGAAGAGTGAAATAAATGACTATTGAATGCTGACAATAGTCTGGTCAAATAAATCTGTGAAGCAGGAATGATGGAGAAAGTGGGAAAAGACCCTTAAGAAGGGAAAAATAGGCTAAGCTAAATATGAATTTTGAATCTAATATCATATTCATATTGCTTAGAAAAAGCAATTTATTACATTGAACATTACAACAAAATAAAACCCATCCAAGATTCATGGACCTTTTCTGATGTTTCTCCTCCTTACCTGAAGTAGTGGTTCAGCCAATCCTTCAGCTCCACCACAAAGATACAGTGGTTCAAAAAATTCCAGGGACAGCTTTCTACTCTCTGTGAGAAAGAAAAAAATTGTGGAAGCAGATTTGTTAGAGACATTCCAATCAAGAGGAACAGAAGAATAGGCTAAATATTGAAATCTCAGATCACATTTTCTTACCTGGAGTGGTGTCCTGGCTTTGATCTTTGTGTAAGGTCCGAAAAAAGTGTAAGAAAGATATAGAGCAATATGGCATATACAAAGATCAATAGGAATTAGATAAAATATTACAGGGGACAGAAGAAAAAATGATTACTAAAATGTATAACTATGTCTTAAGATTTCGAATGGAAGAAGAAAGAGTAAAGGAGACCATGATAATTTGGGCAAAAAAATTTCGGATATAGCATTAACTTGGAAGATTGTGGAAATTATGGGAGATAAATTGCCAATTAACATTATCAGCAGCCTATAAAGAAAACTTGTATAAAATGTTCTATTACTGGCATTTACCTCCGGCAAGATTGGCTAAAATGTTCCCCAATAGATCGGCAAATTGTTGGAAGTGTGATCATGAACTGGGAACCTTTTTCCATATGTGATGGACCTGCCCTAAAGCTAAGAAATATTGGCTCAAAATCAAGAATTGGCTGGAAGAAATTACAAAACAAAAAATTGAATTGAAATTTTTATTGGGTATATTAAGATATAAAATTAGCAAAACAAAACAAAACAATATATCATACTCCATATAATAACTGCAGCAAGAATTGCCTTAGCTCAGAACTGGAAATATGATAATGATCCTTCCGATAATCCATGATAATAAAAAAGGTTTTAGAGTGCACAGAGATGGATAGGTTATTGATAGAACTGAAAGAGAGAGAGGAAACAGTACTATGAAATCTGGAACCTATTTTACAACTGACTAGAAGGTAGACGGAAAGTAGAAAAATGAAAGGAGTTATGGTAAGATATAACTATGTAAATAATTATGTAAATAACTATGTGAATGTATATATGAACATATTAAATTGAATGTAGGAATAACTGTAACAATACTTAGTAATAATCTACACATTTAGAAACAAGTCAATGTGAATGAACACCATTACGAATACACTGTAATAAGTGGAAATGTGTTTTTAATTGTGAAATGTTCAATAAAGATTATTTTAAAATTATTTTTTTAAAAAAGACCTTTTCTTACCTGGTGTGGTATCCTGGTTTTGATCTTTGTGTAAGGTCTCCCTCAACAACAGCTCTTGAGAAGATTGGAATGAATCTTGCCTCCCTTCGGGATACTCAGTTATTGCTTCCAAGGATTTCTGGACATGATGTGAGTCAAGAAACAAAGAAAGAGCACTAAGGAATTATCATACTGGACCTTTAAACTAGCAGACCCCAATGTCCATTTGCCAAAGTCGAAAGAGAATGAAAGAATTACGCCAAATATATCCTTTCAAAGAAAAGTGGAAAAACTGGCCTTAGCTATTAATAATCCCAGAAAACTCTGCCAAAAAGGAACTGACAAATTCAGAAAGAATCTTTTTACAGCTGAAATGATAACATTCTCAGACCTGCATCTTTTCCGACTCCTGGGCCAGGAGAAAGCCTTCGGCCAGGGCCACCGCCTGGGAAGTGGTCTCCGCTCCACACTCCCGCACCCATTTCTCCATCTCCGGGGGAAGGACAGCCAGGAACTGCTCCAGGAGCACCAAGTCCAGAATCTGAGCCTTCGTGTGTCTTTCCGGCTGCAGCCATTGACGGCAAAGGCGGTGAAGCTGACTGCAAACATCTCGGGGATTCTTCCCCTCCTGGAACTGCACTTTTCTGAAATGACAGCATTGTCCCTCTATCTTCTCTCTAGTTTCCAATCCAGCTCCAAAATGGATGGATGGATCTCCCATGTTTTACTAATCAGAAGACGTCTGGCCAAGTATCCTAAAGGCCGTTCAGCTCTCTTCCTACACAAGATACTTTGGAATCCAAGGGAACCAGGAAAGATTTCCAACTTATATATCTGAAATGGAAAACAAAGAAAACTTCCAGAAATACAGGCTGACCAACTTATTTTATTTATTTATTTTATTTTATTTGGTTTGTCAATTGCTTACAAGATAATAGGTTTAAGTAAAAACATAGTTATGAATACATGGATACATATAAGAAAAATAAAAGAAACAATAGGACAGAGACGGTAGGCACGTTGGTGCGCTTATGCATACTTATGCTATACTTAACTGAGCATCCACATAAACCCAAATAAGAAATTTTTATGAACCCAACACCTGGAAAGAGGAACGGAATCTTATTAGTTGGAAGACTAATGTTCTGTGTGTGGAAAAATATCTGTAGTAACTTTCTGCATCAACTTTGATCAAGGACTAAAAACTTTGGATATATAAATTTAAAACTTGTTTTTGTCTTCTGATTCCTACATATTTATTCAAATAATTTTGATGGCTACTTGATACATTAAAAACAACCTTTGTACAATTCAGATCAGAAATGTCTCGGGTCACAAACAGCCATTGAGATGAATGGCTATCTAAATCTATTTTACAGGTCAACCAATCAATATTTGAACTTCTGTTGTAATGTTAGATAGCAGAACCCCATTAACCTCTTGGTATACGCAGTACAATGCAGTGAGCCATGTGCTGATCTTTACATTGGGAAAACAAAACAGCCATTTCATAAACACATGGAACAATGTAGGAGAACAAACTCATCTGCACAAGATTCAGCAGCCCATCTGTTTAAAAGATAAAGGCCACTCTTTTGAAGACCTGAAAGTATACATTTTGGGCAGAGAGGACTGCTGGTTTGAAAGAGGGGTCAAAGAGGCCATCGATGTCAAAATTGAACGGCCCTTTCTCAATAGAGGGAGAGTGATAAGACATAATCTATCTCCAGTTTAAAACACAGTCATAACTTCCAGGAAGGTTCCATACCTATTTATACCATTCAGGTGACTCTGAAATTACAGCTCCAGGTGGCCTTCTTAGATCTAGCTAAAAGAATGCAAATGATCAGCTGAGTATAAATCCTTCCATTCCCCACTATCCAGTCAGAGCTGAAGAACCTTCTCGGATGAGAAGTGAAAATGTCTTCAAAGAAAACCCAGAAAGTCCAGTTGCCTATAAAGTCTTGCCTCTCCAATCTTCCCAAGAATGCAGAACTCTTGAAACCGAAGTCGTTCCAAAAGGAGCTTTTATTGAAAAGGTTATGATAAGAAGAGGTCTAAGCAGGAACTAAATTTCCCACTTAGAAGCAGCAATTTAAAGCAGTGCAAACCAAATCCCTCCCACAGAAGTAGCAATGCAGGAAACAGATATACAAATTCACAACACACAACGCTGGAAACAGAAAGAGAAACTCCATATAGAGGTCTCCCCAAGCCTCCCTCTACTACCAGAATGCTACCGTCCCAATAGAAATATATGGGACCTGACAGTTGCCTCTTGAAAAAGCACCTTTGGGACACCCATGACCTGGATGACTGAGAATCTCCATAGACTCTTGGTGCAAACCGCTTGTGGGTATCTGAGAAATCACAATCAACAAACCACCATTCAATGCAAAGAGCTATTCAAAATACCCGAATCAACAAACCAGGTATGGATTAACATGATGCTTTGATGCAGGCATCTCCTGGAAAGATGTTTCTCACGTTTCGCCTGATCCTGAATGGCTCCGACTTTTCTGGCGGTCCTGATTTTCCCCCTGGAGGTAACGCAGCGGGACCGTAGTTTTTGATTTCTTCCCTGCCTGCCCCGTGCATGCACAGGGGCGGCAGGGGAACATGGGACAAGGGGCTCCCCACTTTCCAGGATTCCGAATTTGAAGTTTTGCGTCAATCCACGCACGGTCCAGCCCGTGGAAGAACAATCCCCCCCGACACCCACTTACTGAACTCCGGAGTCAGGTCTTAATCTCCCTCCGTGCAAGGCTTCCTTGCAGCCTCTTGGACTGCTGGAA